AAAGATTTTGCTGAATTTCAGCAGAATGGTTATAATTATATTAAAAAAAATTAAATGTGGGGGTTTATGTAATTTTTTTCTTTTTTAATAAATATTATTAAATGGTGTCAATTTTTAGCATAAAGTGAGGCTATTAATTAATCTGGACTTTCACGTTTCACAATAAATTTGCTATATTTTTCACAAGATGATAATAACATTCATGGCAGTTAATTTGATGAATAATTTGGGACCAAGATAAAACATTTCACTGCACAGAATAACTCTGTGTGCAACTTGCATGGAAAAATAGGAATTCAAACTTAACAGTGGTGTAAATTCTTTGAAAAAGAAAAATCTCATTTTTTTTCTGAAAAAAAAAAAAAACTTCCGCCAGAAGATATATTTCCTCTCCTAATGCTTTTGGTATGGAATTTAATCTTGGAATTTTAATTGAATATAGTTTAATTGGCATTGTAGACTCAAAATTTATTGAAGGAACTAAAATAATATGCAGATTTTTTTTAATAGACATCATACCAAAAATATGCTCAAAATCTGAGGAGCGAACCTCTTTAAACGCAGTTTTCTCAGCGGGTCTCCGTTCAATCCCTTACTCCTAAAGTTATACCAAACCTTTTATAATTTTTGATATTTTTTTAACTTACAGAACAGATATGAAAAATGATATATATTTTTCAATATCAACATACATGTATCACGAATTTCTTTTTTTAATCTGTGTGTATCGATACCTATATCGTACAAAATAAAGTTGTATTCAAATTAGGTTGGTTTGTGAGGAAACAATAAAAGAGACATAGCCCGCCCCAAAATCCTCTCTCAGGATCAAATCTTAGAATCATCCTTCAATAATAATCCCCTAAATAATGACCATGATGACCAGTTATCAAAATTAACTTTATTGATTCTGTTCACAATGTACATGTCAGATATCACGTCGTTTGCATTGTCGGTTTTTGATACAGAATACGATAGATGTGTTCGGTATAAAATTTATCACTTCTTTATTGAAAATGTCCTTCCATTGTCAAAATTCGAGAGTTGGTAAAATGGGTTAGTGCTGTCGGACCTGTACGGGCAAATTAAAACCCTGGTTGTAAAATATTCTTCGTTAATACTCAGTCAATTGAATTGAAATGGGTGGATTATGAAGGTCGATTATAATAAGAATATTTATTAAATGGGATGTTTAACTATTAGTAATTCTAATTGAATAATATCAAAGTTGTGTAAAATGGGAGTAAAATTTCTTGTCAAATTAGACAAATATTTCCTTTCAAATACATTTTGTTGAGTGTGTTCAGCAGATAATATTAGTCGGAATATTGCAGTTTTAAATTAGCCTTTTGATGTTTGTTGTGTCGGCATATATCCATCAAAATTCATACAATCTTTAAAATCTTCTTAACTACTGTACATTATGTAAAATTTTTCACAGGGTGCACCCCCTTCCTGTAAATTATTAGGACCAATGCACAGGCACTTGACGCTTTAAACCTTTCTCTTCAATGATAAGAATATCATCATATTATAATGATATTATGGTATGGGATGGACATTATGTGATGAATGAAGTGATTATATACCGGTTTCTGGGTCACTGTAAAAATGTATATATCGAATTATGGGATAACTATATTCACTATACCTGTTTGTGGGTCACTGTATATATGTATATATCGAATTGTGGGATAACTATAGTCACTATACCTGCATGTTTGTGGGTCACTGTACATATGTATATATAAATATATTGTGGGATAAATAAAGTGATAATATGCCACTCTGAGGTTCACTATTTTTAAATATGCATAAAAACTATTGGATACGTAAGCATATATATAGATTAGATATATCTTGTTAAAAATCTCATGATATAAGGTTGATAAGCAGCTCTGTGTTGAAGAAATAAATAATACATTTTGGGATGGACATTATGTGATAAATTTAGCAATCATACCAGTTTGTGGGTCACTATATGTATATTACGAATTGTTGGATAAACAGGCGATTACATGAAATATATTGTGAAAATCTCATAACATTAATTTGATAACTTGTATGTTGAATAAAGAACAAAATACGTTATGGATTGGCCATTAAGGGATTTAAACGCGATGATTATACTTGTTTCTGGTTAAATAATAATTACATTTAAAAGAAATTCTGGGATAAGGAGGCGTTTAGATAAAATATCTTGTTAAGAATCAAATAAATTCGGCTGATAAGTTGCATAATGAATAAATAATTAATCCACTTTCGAGTTGGACATTATGGGATCAATGTATAGTACATTCTAATACCTGTTTGATTTACATGTATATGAGAAATTGTTTGAAAAGTAGGCGATTGCAAGAAAAGTGTAACATGAAAGAGTGTCATAATATAAGGCTAATTAGCTGTATATTGATATATAAAATATTAGTACGATACGATAAACATTATGGGATCAGTCTAATGAATGCACCAGTTTGTGGGTCACTACATGTATATCTAAGAAATTATTGGATAAGTATAGGTGTTATGCACAAAATAATATTTTAATAATGTCATAATATTGAATAAATGAATAAAATATGAGATGGACATTACCGGGCTAAGGTAATGATTATACCTATTTTATTTCACTTTCTATGCGTATATAGCAACTGTGGGATATGTAGGCGCAGGGATAAAATATCTTGTTAAGAATTTCTAATATATGGCTGATAAGCTGTATGTTGAATAAATAAATTATGGTAATAGTAAATATATTATGGTAACGGACTGAATTATGGGATAGATGAAGTGATTATACCTGTTTGTGGGTCATTGTATATATGTATATAATGAATTGTGGGATAAATATAGTGATTATACATGTTTGTGGATCCCTGTATATATGTATATAATGAATTGTGGGATAAATATAGTGAATATACATGTTTGTGGGTCACTGTATATATGTACATTGTATATAATGAACTGTGGGATAAATATAGTGATTATACCTGGTTGTGGGTCACGATATAAATATGTCTATAATAAACTTTTGGATATGTAAGCATATACGTAAGATATTGTCTTTAAAATCTCATAATATAAGGTTGATAAACTCTTTATTGTTTAAATAAATAATTCACGAATGGAAGGTCATTATGTTATAAACGTATTGTGATCATAGCTGTTTGTGGGTCACTATATATATACATGTATATAACGAATTGTGGGACAGGCGATTGCATAAAATATATAGTGTAGAATCTCATAATATTAGTCTGCTATCCTATATGTTGAATCAATAAAAATACGTTACGGATTGGACATTATGGAATCAATGCAGTGATTATACCTGTATAATTACTTTCAAAAATAAGAATTCAATGCTTAAATGTGGTTCACTATATATATGTATATAAGAAAATCTGGGATAAGTAGGTGTATAGATAAAATATGCCGTTCAATATCTAACATTGCTTAATGAATAAATAAATTATAAATAATACATTGTGGGATGGACATTATTTGATTAATCATCTTTCTCACTATATATATGTAAGAGATTGTGGTATATATACATATATATATATATATATATATATATATATATATATATATATATATATATATATATATATATATATATATATATATATATATATATATATTGTGGGATATATATATAGAGAGAGAGAGGATATCCCTAAAATATCCTGTTAAGAATCTCATAAATCGTATATCGCAGTGAGTCATTAATATGCAATATGACCCCAAAATACTTGAAAAGTAATAATAGTTAAAATCTTATATTGAATCCCTCAAAACTGTTCTTAATGATTCATTCTATTTTGTACATATGTAAATATACATATATATATATTATTTATATCAAATATTAATTCTTATGTCTTACATTGTGAAATCCAGGACATGATATATATAGCATGTGATAATATTGTGGGTCATAATATTCATAAATAGAACATTGTGCGATGTATATACTTTATCCCACAATGCTCTATATATATGAAAATAATGACCCACAATGATATACAACATTTTTAATCTTATCTCAAAAATTATATTATATATTATATAAGGACCATATATAACGCTTAAATCATGAATATGACATAGCTATCCAATGCAGAAATGCGAGATCCCACAAACCTGTTTAGAAGGTCGTTGCCCACAAACAACCTCATATACCTATATATATATATATATATATATATATATATATATATATATATATATATATATATATGCAAAATATCGTGAAGTATTTATTTGACGATATTGTTTTCTTCTATGTTCATGGTTAGCATCGTCTTTTGAAATCAGAAAAAAAAATTAAGCCATTTAATATAAACTCAAAACATAATTAAAATAAATACATTCAGGTAAGATGCAAGGCAGATAAATAAGAAGTCTGTTCACCTACTTATGCTTGACCCTGATTGACGCCTCAAGGTTAAAAATATACGGAAAGCCATTTCTGTATTCACTTTTTTGGATTGACATTCTATCATATTTCTGTCCTCTTTCTTTACGTATTTTCATGCAATTGATATACAAAATTTTGATAACTTCCTAATCAGTCTTTGTTAAAATAACCAATTCTAAGCACTTTCTTAACTTTCCACCTCTTCCCGATTATAAAGAGAAAGTAATTTGGCCTCGAAAGAAAATTGACGGATAATATATCGATTTGAAAACAATGCGGAAATTTGCAAAGCTGTGAAAGTTTCAAGTATAGAAAAATCAGCTAAATTTTGAAGAAAAAAACTCCTTTGAAGAGTATATATATATAAGAGTATATATATATATATATATATATATATATATATATATATATATATATATATATATATATATAAGGAATAACAAAGAAAGATATTACGATTGAAGGCTATGTTATTTCTATAATAGATTTCAGTTTTTGTCTTCCATACATAATAAGACTCTTTGTCCTAAAATTTGGGTTATTTAATTATCTGGGCTACCAACTTGAAAATATGTCGGAGAAGACAGCTAAGCAAAGAGTTGCTGTGATAGGGGCAGGTCCAGCTGGACTTTGTTGTCTGAAGGTAATGATAACTTAAATGTTATTAAAGGTTCTTTAAATAAATATAGTTCCTTAAAAATGCAAAGATTTTAACACGGTAATTCCGAATACCAAGGATGTATTTAAGTGTGTGGAAGTGCAAAAATATATTATCATTCTGAATTTATTTTCGAAAACTATGATAACACCGCCTTCAGTCATATTACAGTTACATTCATTTCAGTACTAGTCGCCCGCGTGGCGCAGTGGTTAGAGCGTTTGCTCTAGAGTCGCGGAGTAAGGAGTTGATAATTACGTCGCGGGTTCGAATCCCACTGTGGGACGTGGAGACCGGTCCGGATGAGACCGTATAAACCGAGGTCCTGTGTCACAGTAGGTGCTGGCACGAAAAAGATCCCTCACTGCTCAATGGCCCTAAGTGCCGAGTATAGGACAAAATTTGCAGCTCTCCACCGGCAAGTGGTGGCGTCTCCATATGAGTGAAAAATTCTCGAGAGGGACGTTAAAACAACAAACAAACAAACAAACAAACATTTCAGTACTACTAGATGAAATGCCACGGAAGCGATGGGAATTGAATTTATACCACTACCGACAGAAAAATTCCAATGATATATATTGTAGTTTTTATTGACAGCTTACAGGCTTTGCAGGAAAAAATACTTGTTAAAAATCCCGCATTTAGCTTTAGAGCAGAAGTAGATGTACGTCATCCCCCACCCCCTTTTGTAAAAATTTGAAAAATAACAATTTCAGTAATTGACGCTTTTTCTGAAACCTGTAATACTACGTTATGGATTTTCTACTTCAGGTGTTCTTATTTCATTTCCATCAAGGACAAAAGCAGCGAAAATGCACATTTTAATGATAAATTGATTTTTTTTTTCTATTTTGGTAAACATTAGATTTTAACGCCCAATGAATAGGCCAAGTATTTGATACAAAAGACTATATTCAGAAAAAAAAAACAAACAAAAAAAAAAAAAACAAAAAAAAAAAAAAAACACCATGAAATGTATTGATTAAAGCACAAAATTTTAACAGCTTTAATATTTCATTACTTTTCACTTTTCATGTAAGCAAATTTATTACGAAGTACAAATTGTACTTCGGGTTCGTTGCCACGATGCTCTTAGTGAAAAATACGCAAATTTTACCGATAAATTCATTAGGAAAACCTACTAATAGTCTTTCGATATATAAATAAATTCACAAGTTATAGTGCTATCCATGATTAACCATTATTTCAATGACCATTCGCACAAAAGCTTTTTTTATGTACATGCAGCTATAATCGCCTCGTTTTTCTGTTTAACATCGGGCTCGATGCTATATGATGTTCTAGAAGTTTCCGTCAATATTAAGATCAGTGAATGAAAAAAAAAAATAATTTGCACATTTCCCTTTTTAATCGGTTATCACAACTCATTTCTTTTATATTATTTAAATCAGGTTTTGATTGAATAATTCAGTGATGGCCTTTTGTGAAATAAATGAACGATTGCTTGTTGTCAGTTTCATTAAAAAATTGGCAGAAACTTAGATCCGCCAACCGGAACCGCCACCGTACTCACGTTTTTGTTATTTCATGGCTGTTTATAGAAAAATGAATTAATGTACAATATTGACTATGCCAGTGAAATCTGAATATAGTTTACGGACATCATCTTGTACTTGGTGTATTCATAGAGGAGTTAGTAAGAACACTTGTGCACCCGTTTCGGAGTTTATTTGCAAAAATTATTAATTTATAAGTATAAATCCTTAGCTTAAGCATGTCCCCTTTTGATTTTGAGGTGAAAATGTTTAACGTCAAAGCAAAACATTACAAGTGTTTAACTTCAAACTCACAAACATTTGGAATGTAGATTGTAATTTTTTTCTGGATTATATATATCAAATAAACAAAATCGGGCATATGAATTCTCTAAATAAGCTTGTAAGGTTAACTTCCTTCATATTTTTTCTGATGCAATTACAATTGTTGGTTTAAAAAGTAACGTCATAAATTTATCTTCATTTCTAAGAGATATCTTAAATTACAACACTGTTCATAATTGTTTTAATCCCACTGTTTTGAATTTATCTTTTTTAATTTGATACATTTATATTGACCATAATCCTTAAACCCGTCAACATTTTATTTTGTTTTTTTAATATGCTTTCTGCATTCTTTTTATGGATATACTTTTGTTATATAGTATTTCAAAATTTTCCTTCATAGATGAATGTCGATATTTTCGTACTGTATAAAAAAATAGAAGAAGTCGGCATTTTTACCATGGATCGGACAGAGTACAGTGCCAACCAGACCCAATCTGACTCTTAAGCAGTCCCAGAAAGCAATCCCCGGGACTGCTTCTGGACCGCTCTGGAACTGCTGTGGGACTGCTGTGTGACTGCTCTTGGACCGCTATGGGACTGCTCTGGGACTTCTGTGGGACTGCTCTAGAAATCAGACCCAGCAGTACCAGGGACTGCTTTGTTCACTCATGCGTGAAAAAGGTTCTGAGCGACATGATAGCTCCGCCCCTTGTTTATTCTGAATTTGCAGGCTCCCTGTTGTTGTTTTGTTAACTTTCAACAGAGAGGTGTTTAAGATAAATAATAATAAAAATAATAATAATAAAAACAACAAGGATTTCTTACAAGATTTTAACAAGTAGAGATAGATATACATGTAATTACTATATGTCTTCAGGGGCTCTAAATTTACACAATTGTAGACTGTCTATAATTAATTTTTAAAAAATGAAAGTAGTTAAAAAGGGAAGTCCGGAGATGATTTTTATCCCCTAAATTAAACTTTAATACAGATGTTGGAAACTAAATTATCTAGGTCTATTTAATGAATTAATGCTATAAAATTATGACCTCAAAGTTTGCATTAGCACTTTTAAAATACAAACAAACAAACAAACATGTTATTACAGTAAGATATTCAGAGGGCCGTACTGTCCTGGATATTTTTTTAATTGAAAAAGCTAAAATCATGTTAAAAAAGCTATTTTTTCCGACCTCATTTAAAACCTAATAATTTATTAAAGAACCATGAAATAAAGTTATTCTACCATTCTTCCGTTATATAAACAATGTGAACAAGTATTGGGGGATTTATTTATGAATTAGTTTTTAATTTATAAACAAGTTATCAAAAAGTACATTTATTTAAAAAGTAAACATTTGAAAATATCGGGCATTGTGTAGTGTCAACACCTGAGGTTTCAATAGCCTTTGGGCATGATTAGCAGAAAGTCAATGAATGGTATCAGTGTTACACATCACTGAACATGCTGGTCAACAATGACACTAATTTCAATCTATGTACATGTACTGCAAAAAATATTTGTTTCAATAAATGTCTATACTAGATTTATTTCGGGATTAATTAATTTTAAACATAACTTGAGGGTTTTATTCGCGTGATTTACAGATGTACACTCGAACTTTTATATAATAAAACTATTAAAAATGAGTGTTATTGTTTTCTGTTACATATAGAATCTAACGATAATCAATTTGGCAATTCAGTGAAAATAATCATGACTGAAATATAGTACTCGGCAAAATTTAACAAAGAGTTTTTCAGAAGCCCCAGTACTTTCCAGTAAGAAAAATGCATTCAGAGTATAGTATAGGAATCGGCCTTGCTCTATAATTATAAGATCTATTTAAAGCTAATTCTGATAGGAAAAAATGATTCAAGTTTAATTTTCTATTAAAATAAATAAATATGGAAACCAATATCAATCACAGAAAATAAAGAGATTGACTTATTTTGGTGAAAAATTAATATACCACATAACTGTGTATAAATAATCATATTATTAGTAGGTGTGAACGTCTTTTTCTTCAATATTTATTATTTGTTTCTATACACATACTGTGATTTTCTTAACAGTTCAGAAATGACTGTCACATAAGAATTGTAAATATTTGTTGTTACTGCTCAGAAAGAAATGCATCATCAATTTCCACTGCCTTTTATAGTTACATTGTTTATTTGTATTCTCATTTCTGAGTAAGCTCCGCCCAATAAATTAATTAACCCCGCCCACTGGGACTGCTGGGACTGCTGGGACTGCTTTCCGGGACCGCTGGGACTGCTGGGACCGCTGTGGGACTTCTCTGGGACTGCTGTGGGACTGCTCTGTAACCGCTGTGGGACTTCTCTGGGACCGCTTTGGGACTGCTTTAGCAGTCTCAGAAAGCAGTCCCCAGGACTGCTGTGGGACTGCTTTAGCAGTCTCAGGAAGCAGTTCCCGGGACTGCTATGGGACTGCTTTGTGTCAGGTTTGGTCTGGTTGGTACTGTACATATAGAATCGGGCACTCTGAATATGCTTTAACAAATAAAATCATATGTAAATCCCTCTTCAATTAACACAACAAGTTACAGATTCGCGTGACAGTTTTCAAAAATGCTGTGTAAAAATGCAATCCAAGGTGGGAGGTCATATTTTTGTGATACAAGTATACGTTCAATAATTAATGAACTATCAAAATTAATTACTCAATATAAAACCAAATTGTTAAAATATTTATTTAAAAAAATTGAAGATTAATTTAACCTTTCAACTAAGACTATGATATTAGAAATGACCTTAATAAATAGCCTCATTCAGACAGAAACATAGTATACTTTCATAATACCAGGTCATAGTCCGATGCATAGTGAAATTGCGTCCATTCCATGGTAAAAATAAAGCATTCAAGGTATGTGTTCGATGAATGGTGAATTCATTATCAATCAACTAACTCTAAACAAAGTCATTTTGGTGGAATCTGGTAGCCAAATCAATTTCTTGATTATATAGATTTTTGTATATTCTTTCAGTGTTACATATAACCGTCACGGTAGCTCAGTTGATAGAGCTCTCGCTCCGTGTTCGGAAGGTCGTGTGTTCGAATCACGTCCGCGACTGACCAAAGTCGATAAAAATAGGTACCAAATGTTCCTTCGCCAAGCGCTCGGAACTTTGAAGTGAAAGTTGCGGGTCCTTCGGATGGGACTTAAAAACTGAGGCCCCGTGTTTTCAACGATAAAAACACGATAAAGAAACCTCACTGCTCAATGGCCCTGAGTGCCGAGTTAAGGTCTAAATTTGAAGCCCTTCACCGGTATGTGGTGACGTCTCTGTATGAGTGAAAAAATTCTCGAAAACAATCAATTAATCAATCATTCATACGAAATGTGAAACTACTGCCTCAGAGAAGCACTGGATCTTAATTTAATCGATCATAAATTCTATTTCTAAACTAATCTGACCCCATGCTTTATAAAGAACGTGAGTAAAATGAGAAAAAAAAAATAACTGATCTGAAATTGTTAATATTTTCTTTGTAGCATCTTTGTGACAATCTAAACATCTTTGAACCAGTAGCGTTTGAACGTAATTTTTGGCCTTGTGGGTTATGGAACTACACGGACCAGACTATCAAAGACGATTTCGGACTTCCGATACACTCTGCTCTATACAACAGTCTAAGGTAAATCCATGTTCTGTTTTCTCTTAAATGGTTGTTGAAAACCGGGAAAAAAGTTACATGTACATGTATATTAATGTCTAAAAGTCAGTCTAACTCAATCATTTCACAGCAAACACTTGTGCATTAACTAAATCTCTAGGTCAGCTTTTCTTTTCAGTTTATCTCCACTGTTTCTCTGTGCTCTCCTTTTGGGATGCTTTTTTTAATCTAAATATAGATATGCAAGAGGTTTTACTATCACTGTGATCCATTATAATTATGGATTATCTTTTAAGTGAACTAGATGAGACTTGTATATGAACTTTTGAGCATGACTTCTGTTCGTTATCTTCGAATTTCATTTTTGGATGTCTTCTTTGCTATTCTAAAACAAAAACATTGACTGTTCTTCATCTAAGATGAAAAAAGGCGAAGATAACGAGCAGTGATCAATCAATAAACAATACAATTCTGTGAAAAGGGCATAAAACACGGACCCCTGGAAATTCTAGAGGTTGGATCAGGTGCCTAGGATGAGTAAGCGTCCATGTTGACCTGTCACACCCGCCATGAGCCCTACGTGCATGTATTGATAAGGTAGACGGGACATTCCCTAGTCAAATTCAATATAAAAACAAAGGCCTAACAATTGGTATGAAACAAATCAGCCAAAATACGACCCAATGATAGGTTATATTATCTAACAAGGTTAATATAACGACCATAGAATTAACTAAATGACGACTTTAAACGAGGTTGTTGAAATCTCTGTAACATCAACTTATTTGTCAGTAACCTGCCTAGTACTCAGAGCATGCTCTTGGGTATCAAATTAGTTGGAAGATGTAAACACCATAAGACAAAAAAGATTTTGGTCTTTGTCTCTTCTGGTTACTTGAAGTCATTGCTTCCCTAGAAGATCCAAATTATTACACTATGCAATATCCATAAATTGACCTGATTATTTTAATTACATAGAAAACATTCTGGTGCATTAATCTAAAGTTCGTTAATCTTTAAATTCTATATGACAATATTACATGGTAAGGCGTGTGCTTGCAGTGATTATCACTATGTTACATCAGGGTTTTGGTGTTAATTATACCACTTTATCGTTTTCTGAAGGTTGAAATCCATTTAAGAAAGGATAAAAACACAATATCTAATAATTTCTGTCAGTTGCAAAGCTTACATATAATTTTCCAATGACTATGATAATGATTTTTTTAATGTACAATGCACATATCTACAGAATAAATCTCCCAAAGGAACTACAAGAGTTTCCAGGTTTCCCCTATCCTAACGAATGGATTACTTCCTACATCACACGTCAGCAGTGCTTGCAATACCTCAACATGTTTGCAGACAATTTCAAACTCAGACCATACATTAGGGTAACATTTTATAACTGGCATCATTGAATTATAACATTATGTATCCATTGCAATTTTCTTCGTCTTAAGTGGTGTACAATATTCACGATATGCGGTAAAAAAGTCATACACTCCACATACGATTAGTTAAACTAGCTGTACCAAACAAACTTGCAATGTATAAGGTTCTCTTTTGTTAAGATATTAATGATTAAAGATTTCACTAGCAAAGATCATAATATGCTATTGGTGTTAAAAGCAATAGAATACAACCTTCAGTGTGATTATGATACTATATTAATCAAAAATGAAAACTGATACATTGATAAAATTGCATTAATTTTTGGAACTAAACAGGTTTGGACGAAATTATTAAAGTCTTTGGTATGTAAAATTAGAAACACGAAACTGGAATTAAATGGGAAATTTCTTTTTGTGCTTTTTATAATTCTATTTCTTTCTTCATTGAAGACGCATACCTTTGTTCACGATGTTAGACCATTCAAAGAAGTACAGGAAAACGGCCTTGTGAAATGGTTACTGACCTTTTCTTCTACGACCAAGTTATCAGATGTCAAAACGGAAGTGTTTGATTCTGTTCTCGTATGTAATGGGTATGTTCAAAAATGATTCTTTTTTAATTTTTATTGCAAACAAAAATGACTCAAAACTTTAGCAGATTTGATCAAATTGACCTGATCGAAGGACATTGTAACTGTGCTGGTATAGTCGTAGACGTCACAGCCAGTTAACCATAAAACAATGAACTACACACATGGATTCGTAAACTGTATTGAATTTGTGTTAGTGTTTGTGTGGTAAAAGGCTACAAATTAAAGAAAAACAATCATAAGAATTTTGACAAAGAATCTGAATAAACAATGTCATTTACACAGTTCAGTTGTATTTATAATACTGATAAAAAATATTGTGCACGTATGAAACAGCCGTAAAAAGTTCGAATACAATGATATGATCCGACATTCACAAGAGATTCGCTTTATCAAAGTTACCATGTGAGCAAAATATCTGCATACAACGTACATGAAATTAGGTGAATTCCAGCATGTTCCAACAATCTCAATTTTACAAGTAAACAATATGTGCATTTACCTGATGCTAATAAACATTCACAACAGACTAAATTTAATGCAAAAATATATAAACGAAGTCAAAACTTACACTGTAGTAGGCCAAACTTCACATTACAATGCTTGCAAAATGTTATACTGCCTGGGCGGAAATAGTAAACAAACCCTTTTCAGGTACTTATTAATTCGACCCAAAAATTATTCGTATGATAAGCATCACAGTAACATTTTTTTTACTACAAGTAATCCGATTATTTTTTGAGTATTAGCATACTTGTATTATATTTTTCTCTGAGTTGTATACAATTCCGATGAGATGAGATTCTTTTTTCTCAGGGTTCGCTTCGCAGTACAGTTAATGTGCGCAATGGAAATATCGGCATTTTTGTGATTAAAAATATATTCTTAATCAGGATGGCGATTCTTTTCAGTACTTTATTGATTTCCGACAAATGTAATTATGGTTAATAACTACATATTGAAGACGATAAGATTTCATATTTAGACTTGTCACGTGATGCGGCAGTCACGTGATATAACACATATACTGGAAATATTGAGGTCACCTATAAATTTCACTAGTTCAAGGGCATAATCAAGTTAAAATTTTAAATTTAGAGTATAAATATTTTCAACACATATCGAAGTTTCTGAAAAGTGCTGCGATCCTCTATAGATTCTGCTATTTCATTGTTAAAATCATATTTATATGACCGCATTCTGTATTTTTTGCTGGTCAACGGTATTAAATATAGAAATAATTAATTCATTTTCAAGATTTCATCAGGATCGCAGCACTTTTCAGATACCTTAATACTTCTAGAGTTTATATGTAAAAGCTTACTGTGATCCATTGAGTGTATGCCCTTGCTCTAGATCGATTTATTAAGACCCTTACATTACCCTCCGATGTACTTGCATACAAATATACGGTAGTATCAATTAAATAGGAAATATACGGAATATTTATAAGTAAAATCATAAAGAAGACATCGCATCCAAGTTAATGACTCTTAAATATCTTTAAATAATATTTTATTTAATTATAGGATACATTTTTCGGTGTTAAAATATCTCTTGATCCGCCTCTCACTGCATACAAACTGCGTCAGGTTTTAAGAAATGACGTCACATCGACAAGTGCATCGCGATCAGTGACTTGTTTATACCTTGCTATGTGGAATTTAACTAAAGACAAAACAGGGTGTTATAGTAAGTTTAGATGTAGTTTGATGGTTTCCTATAGTTAAAAATAGCAAATCATTTCATTTTCTAGTATTTTTAAGAATTGTTGGTTTTGTATGATGTCATAGTTAACTTTTGTGTCAAACCTAAGATATAAACATAGGTAGTGACTTTTCCTTCGCCAAACGCCAGGCATTAGAAAGTAAAAGTCACGGGTCTTTTGGATGAGATATTAAAAATCGATGTCCCGTGTCACGGTAGGCGTTGCCACGAGAAAGAACCCTCACTGCTCAATGGCCCTAAGTGCCAGATATCTGTCTAATTTTGAAGATCCTCACTTGTATAAGGTGATGACGTCTTTATTTTAGTGAAAATTCTCGAATGGGACGTTAAACTACAAACAATCAATCTTTCTTTTTCTGGAAATGAACCTTATGTTTTATCATAGGAATTGTGTCTCTTTTCCTCTGGGTGTTTGAAGGCTAATTTTAATTTAAACAGAAATGGCAGTTGTTTTATTCAGAATAAATTTACTACTTTAATGATATTGTTCTAGATGAATCTTTGAGTAGAAGAAACGTAGCAAATTTGCGTTTTTTTTTAAATGTAATTTTCAGACGTGAAAGCAAAGCGTACAATCCAAATATTCCCGGAATGGAATTGTTTGAGGGAAGAATGATACACAGCAAAGAGTTTAGACATGAGGAACATTTTGACGGTCTTCGAGTTGCAATTCTGGGTTGCAGTTTTTCAGGAGAAGACATATCAATGCATGTAGCAAAATTTGCAAAAAAGGTACGAACCTTCGACTGTTCATTTTATCCTTTTCTGATCACAGCAATTGCATTTTAAATCCTTTATAGTGGAATGTTATGCTTAAGGTACTCCTCTTGGAACGTTGTGAAAAAGACGTGTTGCAGATTGTCTTTTCATGTAAAACTTTGAAATGATCGATACGTATTAGAAAAGTACGGTATATCGGGTATTTTCTGCGGTTGGAAACGTATACATGTATGATTTTACCTCTAAAAGGTACAGGTAGAAGATTAATTTCTGCGCTTTTGAAACCTGTGGTTCCATTGCACTGCAAAAATTCATTTAAAGAAAATGACAACCAGATTTTAAATTTGACAAAATATTGCAAAGTTTTGAATATTTTAAGATTGACATGACCGTGGTCAGGATGAATCAGAGATTATAAGAAGGTCAACTGCTCCTCTATCTTTAAGTTACTTCGTGAATTATTGGATTTTTTTAATATTTAAAATATGATACAGTTATCAATTACAAATATATATGTGAAATCAGGCAAAAAATTACCTTGAGGTTCGTACCCCTTCCAGGCTTGGGAATAATTGATGATGAGTTTACAAAATATCCTAATTTAAATTTTAGATTATTTTGTGATTGTAGTTTTGGGGGATTTGTTCTTTCCGCAAAATACCGTAATAATTGGATAATCACAGAAAGAAAACCCCTTATACGGCAAACTTGCAGATATGTTGTGATAACATGTAGAATTTTTTGATACAGTTTGCGGGAAAAAAGCAAATTCATAAATAAGTTACTTTGTATACATATTTCTTTTATTTACATATCCCAAAAGGTATTTGCATGCCATAGACGAAATCCAAAGGAGTTCCCGCCGTCTTTCCCAAAAGAAATAGAACAAAGGCCCCCATTTGTCCGTATGACAAACGATTCGGTGGTTTTTCCCGATGGCAGCTGTGAACAGGTGGATGCTGTTATATTCTGTACCGGATATCGTTACTCATTTCCTTTCTTGAGAGATGATATCATAACGATTACAGATGAACGCATTCAGCCAATATACAAACACATGTTTCATATCGAATACCCAAACCTAATTTTTCTTGGAATTTCTCGTCAGTTTTTAAACTTCCCTCAATACTATGAAATGGCAAAACTTGCGGCACTGGTTTTCGCAGGAAAAGTGAACCTTCCGTCCAAAGAAGAAATGAGGGCAGAAAGTGAAGCTGATTTCCAGTCTCGTCTGAAGGAAGGGAAGTCGCAGTCTTTTGCCCATTGCTTCGGGGATTTTGGTCGACAATTTCGATATAACGAAGAACTTGCACAATTAGGTGGGTTTGATCCACTCCCACCAGTTCTTGAGATGATTTTTCTTGACATCGCGGATGAAAGATACATGAATCTTTCACATTGTAATGAGTTTAACTATCGAATTACTGGACCTAAATCTTATGTTTGCTTGAACCCCGAGAAGATTAAAACAAGAGAATCAAAGGCTGAAAACGTTGTGAATGATAAATAATCAAGCAAATCAAGATTCTTGAACATTGTTCATTTTTTATTTCTTTCATACTGATAGAAACTGCATAGTCTAAGATTATCTCTGTATTCAAGAAAACAATTTATCATTTCAATATATCAACTTGATCAAGTGAAATGCTATTTTTTTTTTACGTATTCTGACTTCTTTCGGAATATCTTACTGTTTTTGTTTTGTTTCATTCTGAAGAAAAACTGTGCCATCTCAAAGCTTTATCAAACGGCTATACATTATCAATTCTGTTCAACTGTAAAATTTTTATTAAATTAACGCATTCCAAAATCAAAACAGAAAATCTTTTTTTTTCTGTTTTAGGCATTTTGCCCTTAGGTATTGACAAAATCTAACAAAAAACACAGTTTTATAAGATATTTATTGATAAGATTGTAAATCTTCAGCATTTTTCTAATAGAATAACGATCTAGTGTCACAACCAAATTGAAATGTAAATATATAGAGGAAATATTGACAATTTAGCAAGATTTTAAAGGGTAAATTTCCCCCAAAAGAAAATCACTGACTCACATCTTAAAGATAGCAAAAATCTACTGGGTAAATTTCCTCTCAAAAATGACATTGATACAGTTTACCTACAGTATTTCAAAGCAAAAGCAACCATCTTTTAGATAGCAAGACTTTACGGGGTAAATCCCCCCCCCCCTCCAAAAAAAAGTATCACTGATAAAGTATTCACTCTGTCATAAAAGCGAACATTGCACTCTGAAAATCGCAGAACTCTACAGGGTAAATTTCCTCTCAAAAATGACATTGATTCAGTTTGTATACAGTGTTTGAACGCAAAAGCAACCATCTTGATGATAGCAAGACTTTACGGGGTAAATTCCCCCCCCCCCCCCCCAAAGAAAATCACTAATACAGTATTTATGATTCGCAAATATCGTGAAGATGGCAACAATCTACAGGGTAATTTTTCTCTCAAAAATGACATTAATACAGTTTATACACAGTATTTCAAAGCAAAATCACCCATCTTTTAGATAGCAAGACTTTTCGGGGTAAATCCCCCCCCCCCCCCAAAGAATATCACTAATATATTCACTAATTTTACAAAAAGCGAACATTACACTTTGAAAATCGCAGACTCTACAGGGTAAATTTCCTCTCAAAAATGACATTGATTTAAATACAGTGTTTGAAAGCAAAAGCAACCATCTTGATGATAGCAAGATTTTACGGGGTAAATTTCCCCCCAAAGAATATCACTGATAAAGTATTCACTACTCTTATAAAAAGCGAACATTACACTTTGAAAATCGCAGAACTCTGCAGGGTAAATCTCCTCTCTCTCAAAAATGACATTGATTCAGTTTATATACAGTGTTTGAAAGCAAAAGCAACCATCTTGATAATAGCAAGACTTTACGGGGTAAAATTCCCCTCAAAGAAAATCACTAATACAGTATTTATGATTCGCAAACATCGTGAAGATGGCAACAATCTACAGGGTAATTTTTCTCTCAAAAATGACATTAATACAGTTTATACACAGCATTTCAAAGCAAAAACACCCATCTTGTAGATAGCAAGACTTTACGAGGTAAATTCCCCCCCCCCCCCAAAGAATGTCACTGACACAATATTCACTACTATTACAAAAAGCGAACCTTACACTTAGAAAATCGTATAACTCTACAGGGTAATTTTCCTCTCAAAAATGACATTGATTCAGTTTATATACAGTGTTTGAAAGCAAAAGCAACCATCTTGATAATAGCAAGACTTGACGAGGTAAAATTCCCCTCAAAGAAAATCACTAATACAGTATTTATGATTCGCAAACATCGTGTAGATGGCAAAAATCTTCAGGGTAATTTTTTGCTCAAAAATGACATTGATGCAGTTTATACACCGTATTGCAAAACAAAAACATCCATCTTTTAGATAGCAAGACTTTACGGTGTAATTTTCCCCTCAAAGAATATCACCGATACATAATTTATGCTTCACAATATCTTGGCGGTAACAAAAATCTACAGGGTAAATTTCCTCTCAAAAAATATTATTGGTACAATTTATCTTATACGTAGGAAAAGCGAAGATTACACTTTGAAAATCGCAGAAAACTCTTCAGGGTAAATTTCCTCTCAAAAATGACATTGATACAGTTTATATACAGTAATTAAAAGCAAAACACCCATCTTTTAGATAGCAAGACTTTACGGGGTAAATTTCCCCCAAAAGAATATCACTGATACTGAATTTATGCTTCACAATATCTTGGCGGTAACAAAAAATACGGAGTAAATTTCCTTTCAAAAAAATATTATTGATACAGTTTTTATTATACGTAGAAAAAGCAAACATTACACTTTAAAAAAGCAAGTATCTACGGAGTAAATTTCTCCCCAAAGAGAATCAAAGATACATTATATATTATATTGAAAGCATGAACAAACATTACAACTTGATGATAACAGGACTTTAGGGGGTAACCCCCCCCCCCCCCCAAAGAATATCACTGATACAATTTACATTATTCACAGAAAAAACAAACATTACGTACATATTTAAAACAACAGAACCTTACAAGGTAAATTTCCTCTCTTAAAATAATTTGATACAGAACTTACTTTTTACAGAAAAAAGCATACATTACATCTGTACATCTTGATGACAAAAAGACTCTCTGGGGTAGATTCATCTCAAAGAATATCAATAATAAAATATATTATTCAAAGCACGAACAACATTACAACTTGATGATGGCAAGTTTCGATCTATGAGTTAAATTCCCCCTTCCCCCCAAAATATCTCAAAGATAAAGTATACATTTTTCACAGGAAATGCAAACGAGGTCTTTGGGTAGACAAAAAGTACTATTTAAAAAAGGAAATACAAACTTAAAAAAAATCTTGATGCTAGCAAAACCCTACGGGATAAATTTACCCTCAAAGAATATCAATGTCGCAGTGTAATTTTATAAAAAGCAAAATCAACAAACATTACATCTTGATGATAGGAAGACTACAAATACCCCCTCCCCATCTTAACTAAATATTTTTATGAGTTAATTTCCTCAGTATCTGACAAACTGTTCAGTTACATCGAGATTATGTAGTTACAGTTTAAATTTTTTTAATCAAACTAGTTTACAATATCTTCATCTCGTTGACATATTTTCAAAACTAAGAAATAGTGTATTAATTTTCTCTCAAAATTTTAGATAATTTTTTTTTAAATTCGGTACTTTTTATTCAAACCAATGCAGAAATCAATGTTACAAAGAAAACGTCTACAAATTTTGCTACATTTTTTTTTTTTTTAAATTGCATATAATTCACAGTTAGAGTTAATTTTAACGGTTACTTTTCAATTATTTTGCAGATTTGATGACCCCCTGCATTTTTATCAAACCGATACACACTCTATTACCAACATTTCTCCACTTGATAATTTTCTTCTTAAAATTTTAAGTCTCTGATATTTTATCTTTCAAGCAAAAAATAACTTAAAAACGTACATGTACTACACGGACGCTTTGCATTTTACTTTTTTGCTAGTATCACTTTCAAAATGATGATTTGCTAATCCTTATAATTTTGTTAAAACCTCCAAAATCGTTCCAAAGGTAATTTCTTGTAATATAATAAAACATCAAGAAAAAGAAATACAATTTTACTTCTCCCTGATTTAAAAATGAAACATAGGGAAAAAAATTAATGACATAAAATTTTAGGATAATGAATGTATAAATTTTATATTACAAACGATGTTCCTAACTAAATACCATGCAAGCTGGAAAAACTTAATATCAAGGTTAACATAATATTATATCTTGTAAAAGTGAAGCTTCTCGCATCTTTCTTTCCCTGTTAAAGGAATAAGATTTTCTTTTGTCTCCCGTTATTCTTTCTTTGTTTAAATAACGTCCTATCTCTGACCGAAGTTCCATTTCTATGCTTTTCTACTGGCTGATGCAATAGACAGATTGCAGATTGCATTTTCCAAAGGAAATCTGGCAACCATATTCTGAACCAATCCAAAATCCACCTAAGGATGAAATTTTAAGACTCGTAAATCACCTCATCATATAGTTTTTCAATTTACTTCAATTTTCCAAACCCTTAGGGAATTTTATACGATTTCATGACAGGCATGACGGATTTAATATTGTGCACAAGAGTAGAGTAGCATGTGCCTGCTCTGAATTTTTGTAAAACAACCTATCTGTTTATTTGGTATGGAAATTTCATTCAGTATTCTAAAGACCCCCCACCCCCCGACAACACTTATACACACATACATTGAAATGCTTCTTTTGAGATTTATGCTTATTTGTGATATGAGCTAATATTAAAAGATTATCAAAACAGTTAAATTCACTTACTATAGTATTTTATTTGTAATAAGAAAAGTTCAGACAGGACGTATAATTACATGTATTACTGATGCCCTCTAGGTCCATCACGAAAGTTTTATTTAAGGGGAAGTGCGAGAGGTAACTGAGAGCATATAGTTTTACTGCAACCTAAATGTTGGTTAAAGTGTTTAACATTTCAGCTTCAGTTATTTCACGTAATAAAGAAAGCAACCAAGTTCCGAAATCTTCATGCTGGGCAATGGAATGGTAGATAGGAACAAATTCAAATGCAGATACTGCTTATATATATATATATATATATATATATATATATATATATATATATATATATATATATATATATATATATATATATATATATATATATATATATATATATTAATAGTGACATTTATATATTTGTATATTTACCTTTAATGATCAAGATTTGGTCTTGAATTTGTAATTGTTCCATTAGCACAAAACAGTCACTTTTGTATCGAATCGTCATAAAAGTACACTTTTGACACACTCCTTAAATACCTGTATTCAGGAAACTGAGAGGTCATCTAGCCTGGTTTCCTTTCCCTAAATTGCTTAGTGTTCTCTGTGACCTTGGCGTGGATGAGGCAAGGAACAAGGAAAACGGACGCCGCGCATA